GGACCAATCTTTTTATTGGAACCATTCCAAATGTGTGCGCATATAATCGACAATTAAAGTGGCTTATTTTGAATGGAAATCAATTTGATGGAGAGGTTCCTATTTTTTTATCCAAATGTAGAGATTTGGAAATACTTGATTTGGGAAACAACCAGTTGTATGGCACATTTCCTGGCTGGTTAGGAGACCTTCCAGGGCTACAGGTTCTTGTTCTTAAATCAAACAATTTTCATGGTCCTATTGAAACATCTTCTACAATTAAACTCCCATTTTCACTTCTGCGAGTTCTTGACATATCTCATAACCAGTTTGCCGGACATCTCCCCGGGAAATATTTTCAATATTTCAATGCCATGAAGGATGCGGTACGGATGGGCTCGACACCAGAATATTTCGAATTCAATGGAAAGTATTACTCTATAGTAGTTGGGGTGAAAGGTCATCAACTTCCATTTCCACAGCTTTTGGTTGACTACACAATTCTTGATTTATCCAGTAACAAATTTGAAGGAAAGATTCCTGACATCGTTGGCACTCTTAACTCACTTATAGTGCTCAACTTATCCCATAACAACCTCAATGGTGGAATCCCACATACTCTGGGTAGTCTCTTGGAGATTGAATCATTGGACCTATCATGGAACAAACTTACAGGAGAGATCCCTCAAAGTCTTGCAGACATCAATAATCTTGCAGTGTTAGACCTCTCACAAAATCATCTTGTGGGACGTATTCCACAAGGAACACAATTCAACACGTTTGAAGGGAGGTCTTTCGAAGGGAATTTGGGATTGTGTGGGTTTCCGTTGACCAAGCATTGTGAGCATCGACGTTCCCCACAACTTGAAGTTACTGATGGTGATGGAGATGAAGATGAGAGTGGATTTACATGGAAAGTGGTGATGTTGGGATATGGATGTGGCACCCTACCTGGATTCGTTATAGCATATGTCATGTTGTCAACTGGAAAACCAAAGTGGTTAAATGCAATATTCGATGCAGCAGAGCATATGATCCAGACAAGGAAAAACAAAATAAGAAGAAGATACATATTTATTGGGAAGTAAACTAGTTTCTGTATGGTATGTGCTTCACATGTTTTCCTGTTTGACCCGAATATGATAAACACCTTATTTTTTTTTCATAGAGAAATTTATGTATTCTTAGTTATGTTTGTTTTTAGTGTTTTTCGAATTTGGATTATTTTGTCTATATTTATTACTTAAGTTAGTTGGTAGGTGGGTGAACATGTTTTAATGGATGTAGAATCTTAATTAATAGCAGTTAAAGTATATACTTTTGTTATTTTGATTCCTTTAATGTTGTTAAATCTTACTCGGGAAATCTCCAAAAAAATCATAATATTTTGGGCCAATTTACGGTTTAATCCTAAATTAATTTTTGTTTACAAAAAAAGACAGATTACCGGCTAAAACTTCGGAATAACCCTTCGTGGCCGGTTTCACAGATTTAGCCAATATCTCGTCTTTTTTCGTTAATTGATCCAAATTTTGAGGCTTTTCATTAATTGATCAAAATTTTAGGGTTTTTTTTTCATTATTTTTTGCCAATAACCAAAATATTTGGACTTTTTTGAAGATTACATTTAAACTAATGTACATTATATGATCTAAGTTAATATGTACCATTCCCCATCTTCTTTCTTGCGCTCTTTCTAAGCTCACTGTGTGTTTCGTCGCCGTCGTCGAACCCAACAACAAAAGCTCACTCACAAGCATCGTTAACTCCATTGATTTTCCAAAATCATCCATTCACAACTCTGTGATCACTTTCAATCTCCAAATGAAGAAAGGAGAAAATCCTTGCTGATCACATGGATGTTCCTATTACCTAACCATGACTCGAACCATGGTTTGAACCCATACATTAATGGCATTGGCCATAGTGTTGTTAACAACATAAGACGAATCCCACATGGTTTAACCACTGATACCTTGGCTCAAGTCTTACTTGACCCTCGTTTCCCTACAAAAGGGCTAGAAAACCATGAAGAATGAACAATCGAGCTTAAAAAACTCAACATGGGTAAAAAACAACATTTCTCCTTTCTTCATTTGGAGATTGAAAGATGATCTTAGAGTTGTGAATGGATGATTTTGGAAAATCGATGGAGTTAACGATGCTTGTGAGTGAGCTTTTTGTTGTTGGGTTCGACGACAACGACGAAAACACACGGTGAGCCTAGAAAGAGCGCAAGAAAGAAGACGGGGAATGGTACATATTAACTTAGATCATATAATATACATTAGTTTAAAGGTAATCTTTAGAAAAGTCCCAATATTTTAGTTATTGGTATAAAATAATGAAAAAGCCCTAAAATTTTGATCAATTGTGTTTTGGGGTTTAAGTATTGAATTTATGGTTTTATTGAGAATAAAGATGTAGGAGATCAAGAAGATAGGTGCAAAATGGTGATTTGTATATATTTAATGTTTGGCTGAAAGCATGACAAAAGTTTACAATTCAGGTATGAAAAATGTTAATAGTTCTTTTCATGGACCATATCCATTAAAAATCAACAAACCACAGGGACAAAAAATTGTACTTTAATTATAAATTGTAGTTGAAAAGTCCACACAAGTAGTCAACAATTAAATCATAGTTGTTGACCGAGTCATATCTGACTGAGTCTGAAGCTCTGACTGCATCTCAGTGAAATTATGTTGTTTGATTACGTATCTGACCGGCTATGTTGACTACTGAAAACGACCATTTTACCCTTTTGTTCTGCTTTGTGACAAATAAAATATATATGTTTGATGAAATATCTAAATAGTTATACAAAATCCAAATGAATAAATATTGCAAATATATAACAATTAGATGAAGTTATGATCTCCTTTGAAAGAATCCACATGAATAAAGATTGCAAATATATAACAATTGCAAACAACAAAATAACTCATCTGTTGAGCTGGTGGATACCGTTTGACATTCAATCACTTTACATTCCAGGTTGTGGTCATGACTCATGCATATGCAAATCGTTCTGGGGTAAGATACATGACAAACAGATTAAAAGTCTATTATGTCTCTTGGAAACCATTTCTAATGCAAAACACATTAATACCAACTTTCTATGGAACACTCCCATTTGTGAGAACAATTATCATTCGTGAAAAGATCTCATTAGTCCATGGTCATCAAGCTTTTTCAACTCTTTGTCATGAAGCTCTAATGCATGCACGAACAATGGGTTATAAAGTTTTATTTACTGATCATTCATTATATGGTTTTGCTGATATTGGAAGCATTCATATGAACAAAGTACTCCAATTTACTTTAGCAGATGTGAGTCAAGCTCTCACATACAAGTAAAGAAAACACGGTTTTAAGATCTGGGCTTCCACCCGAAAAGGTTTTTGTTATACCAAATGCTAATGCTGTGGACACAATTTATTCAATAACTCATCTATTGAGTACGTGGATACTGTTTGACACTTCTCTCTCAATTCTCTAGATCGGTGAAAGGGGCATGATAATAGTGTGAAGGTAAGAAGCAATAATTCGTATTATGATTAAAGAGAATATGGGACTGTGTTTTAAAATTCGATCAGGAACAAGATGCCTTCACACTATTATCAGGAACAAGATGGAGGAAACGAAAGAAACAACACCAAGAAGCAATCAATTCAGAGGCAATACCTTTTACATATGCAATTCGATTAGGAGCATAAACGAAGAACAAGCCACAATGTAGAAGGAAGCGATGGTGAGGCAGGAAGAAGACGGAGCCGGCGCTGGGCGGAGGTGGGAGGAGCCGACGCCTGGAATAGATGACGAGGAAGGAGACTGCAAAGGAGCGTCGTTTGTGATGCACGAAGGGTATAATTGTGGAATTGACCCAGTCAGCATCTCTTTCCCTCATTACCGAGTCAGAACGACTTTTCACACTTATCAAACAAACTGACCGGACCCAATCAGCACACAAACAAACAGTTCCGAACAACCAGCTGTCTTGTTTTTCTTACACGAGTCAAAATTGGAAGCACAACGTAATAAGAAAATTAAAGTCGAGGGCCTATCCAAGATGCTCCATACTACTGAGAAATTATTAAAAAAAAAAACATTTTGACCAAAACCATTGCTACAAATTAATATCTGTTGATAGTTGTGAATTGATACATAAATACATTTTAAAAAGATGTTTGTTTGTTTTTTTTTTTTCGGCAATGACCAATAATAAAAGTAACAAATTTTATGGATGAACGAAGTGGTAAAGTATGTGAACTCGATCCAAATTCGAATTATGTATGTACTTATTTGAGTGAGTTTATGAACATTTGCTGTCCTAAATTAATGTTTTCGGGTTTCTTTATGCCTTCTATAATTTTGTATGTATATATAGTGTTGAAAAGTCAAAATAAGCATACATCATTAACTAATCACTAAAGACCCCCCATTCTCCAATTCAGAGTCTTGGATAACCCCCAAATTCCACAAGGACTTAAAATCCCAGCCAACTTGAATGAAAGACTTCATCAAATAGTATTGTTTACAGCACATAGAACTGGAATTTCAACTTTATGCACAAGTTGCAAGAAGACTAGATGTAATCAAGGACCTACCCACCATATTTAATTTCAAGAAAGACACAACCCAAGTCTTCCCTTCATATGCACCATTGGATCACAAAACATATAAGAGCTTGTTGAATTACTTGGAAATAGCTAGGTAAGTGTTTGTTGAATTCACTCAGAAGATTGCTTTAGATTAGATTAGACATCTAAAAACCTTAATAATATGATTTACCTTTGACTGAGGTATCATATTATCATAGAATCATTTAATTAAAGTTAGGGATATTTTGGTAATTCTCTATGTACCGCCAAAAATTAATTATCTCGAGTTCAAATCTCAATAAAAGACAATAATAGCTATCGAAGGTGTCGGATAGCAACTCCAGACATATACTTTTTATACTAGAATTGAGTATATATACTTGAGCATGTTCAAATGTTTATAGCAAATTAAAGAGGATGAGTAATTCAAAGGTGCTTCTCTTCTTCTCCCTTTTCTTTTTCCTCATCTTTGTTGCTTCTTCCTCTTCTTTCAATGCCACCACTCACAAATGCTCTCCTCAACAGACCCTTGATTTGCTTCTCTTTAAACAAAACCTTTCCTCCATCAATTTCTCATTCGATTACCCTCCATATTATTCCCCATGCCAAGATTGGCTTGGTTCTGATTATTATTATCCAATTATGATGAACTGGAACAAGAATACAGACTGTTGCAAGTGGAGTGGTATCACATGCAACCAAGACACAGGTGATGTTATCAGCATTGACTTGAGTTGTGGTATGCTACAAGGTACCCTCCATCCTAACACCTCCCTCTTTCGCCTTCCTCATCTCCAAACACTCAACCTTGCTTACAATGATCTTACTGATTCCCAACTTCCACGTGACTTTTCTAATAGTCTCACACATCTCAACATCTCTCGATGTAGGTTTACAGGTGAAATCTCTTCGGAAATCTCATTTCCTCCTAATTTGGTCTCTCTTGATCTCTCTGGGAATAATGGATTGCAAATGCAACCTTATGTTTTGAAGAGTATGCTGCGAAATTATACTCATTTGAGAGAGCTCTTGATTTCCGAACTTAATATTTTAGGTTGGGTTTTACCCACTTATCTTGATCTCAAGTCTTCTCTAAAATCACTCGATCTTAGCTACACTGGTTTGCGAGGGAAGTTACCTGATAACATCTTGAATCTTCAATATTTAGAGAAACTTCACTTGAGAGGCAATTCGTTTGTCACTGGTCCAATACCCAAAGTCAACATGAGCATTAACGTCCCTCTCAAGTGGTTACATCTCTCCTTCACCAACTTATCAGGAGAGATACCTGACTCGATTGGCCATCTCAAATCTTTGAACCACCTGGGTCTCTCTTCATGTGGTTTAGTGGGGTCCCTTCCTAAATCTCTTGTTAACCTTAGGAATCTTACTACTCTTAATGTAGAAGGTAACATGCTTAAAGGAACGTTGCCTTCTTCATTGTTTACTCTTCCATTGCTAGAAAACCTTTATCTTGGTAATAACATGTTTACTGGAGGATTGCCATCAGAGTTGTTCAAGTGTCGATCATTAAAGAGATTATCCCTTGACAACAATCAGTTGCATGGCGAGATTAATGGAGGCTCCACTTCACCATCATTCATCCAACTCATCAACCTCACTCACCTTGGCCTTTCATCAAATAATTTCACAGGTTTGTGGGAACTTGAAGTATTGCTATCAAGCCTACCAAACCTTCAATTACTTATGCTATCTGATAGTGGCTTATCTGTTGTCTCCGACAATTCTTCCAGCTATGTCAACCCTGAATTTTCCTTCTTAGGTTTGGCATCTTGCAAATTAAATTTGTTTCCAGAGTCCTTACGAGCCATGAAAAATCTTTCATTTTTAGATTTATCAAATAATAGCATACATGGCCCCATTCCTCATTGGGCAGGGGAGATCGGAGGTGATTTGTTGGATTATTTGGATCTCTCGTATAACTCCATAACAGGCTTGCCACAATTTCAACAAGATGGAATAAATTATCTGTATCTGCAGTCCAACCAGATTCAAGGACCATTCCCTCCATCAATTTGCAACCTGATAAATCTAATCTCTCTGGATATATCCAATAATAGCTTTAGTGGTGTGATTCCACAATGCTTGGGAGATATCAGCTTCTCTCTAGAGTATTTGAATCTCAAGTCCAATCTGATTCAAGGATTCTTCCCTCCATTAATTTGCAACCTCAGCGCTCTAACATTTCTGGATATGTCCGATAATAATTTTGGTGGTGTGATTCCACAATGCTTGGGAAATATCATCTCCTCTCTTTTGATGATGGATATGGGGAACAATCATTTCCATGGCACTATTCCAAATGTGTATGAAGAGTGTGGACAATTAGAGGGGCTTATTTTTAATGGAAATCAATTACAAGGAGAAATCCCACGTTCCTTGTCCAAATGCCAATACTTGAAGGTTTTAGATCTGGGGAACAACCAATTAAATGACACATTCCCCGAATTTTTAGGCGATCTCCCAATGCTGCAAGTTCTTGCCCTTAAATCAAACAAGTTACATGGTCTCATTGAAACTCCATCTACAATTAAAAGTGCATTTCCAAGCATGAGAGTTCTCGAATTATCTCATAATGAATTTGTAGGTCATTTTCCACGAGAGTATTTACAAAATTTCAATGCCATGAAGAACACGGTAACGAATAGCACAAAACCAAAATCTTTGCCAGTGGGTGGAAATTATTACTCTGTCAGTGTGGTGAAAGGCTTGGAGCAAGCGATTCCACAAATTTTGGTTGATTATGTAATTTTGGATCTATCGAACAACAAATTTGATGGGGAGATTCCGAGTGTAATCGGTTACCTTACTTCACTTATGGTGCTTGACCTATCCCACAACAGCCTCACAGGTCGAATTCCCTATGTTTTAGGGAATCTCTCGGAGATTGAATCCTTAGATCTATCATGGAACAAACTCAACGGAGAGATCCCTGGAAGCCTTGCAGAATTGAAATTTCTTAGATCCTTAAACCTCTCGCAAAACCATCTTATGGGGCGTATTCCATTAGGAACACAATTCGGTAAATTTGGCAATTCATTTGGAGGGAATCCAGAACTCTGTGGTCTTCCGTTACCCAAAAAGTGTGGGCATCCAAATGAATAAATAAATTATCTTGTGATTGGTATCTAGTTTACATGTTTTTCTATTTCTTGAGAATGCACCAAATGGTTTACTTGTTTTCTCTATCTAATTTTCTATATATAGGCAACGAAACCCATCGGAGCACCTAGAACTTTTATATTATGCAGTTGTTGATTTGTAAGTGCCAAGATCATGTTGTATATGAAGTTTGTTTGGTTTTATGTTGAATTTACAATTAGAATTATATTTCTTAGAGATGTATTAAAGGTTTTATATATTAAGAGATAATAATAGTACTTATAGGATTTGATCCAAAGCGCCTATGGCCTAGCGTATTAGGACTTTTGGCAAGGCGCCCCTCCGCCAATTGGAACAAAATTGTAGATTAAAAAGTGCGTTATTCAACTTGTGAAACATCAAGACCTCTAGTGATCATTAAGTCATAGTTCAGTGTGATGTAGTTGAGCATAAAATAAGTTGTAAGACTTATTACATCCATTTGATATCATTTGGAAGAGTTATCAGTTATGAAAAGTTTGGGAGCATTTGGACCAAAGTATATTACCTTAATGATTGAAAGAAGCAGATTGTGGGCTTACTACTGCTCGTGTACTTCCCATCACTGCTTGTGTACTAATTAGTCAAGATTTCATGTTTTTTCTATCACTAATGCTTGGCTGATCCGTTTGACTTCAAACCAATTACATTGTTCTTCTAATGATCTCCCTAGTTATTTAAGTTAAGAGATGAGTTGTTGAGCTGAGTTTATTAAGAACTTAATGGAAGGCTTTAGTGATAAGTATAACTATCTATATAGGTGGACATTGAACGCATAACCAAGGCCGAGGATTTAAATATTCTCAAATGCCCTGGACGAGCGAGAAAAAAGAGGCCTTTATTGCTATTATAAGTTTTTTATTTTTAAATAAATATACATACATATATAATATAAAAAAAATTGGGTTCCAAAAAAAAAAAAAATTAGGTTCCAAAAAAATAAAAATTAGGCCCTAGCAGTTGCCCACTTTGCCCCTCCCTCAACGCCCCATGCGCATAACCATTATTGAGTTGAATTGTTAGTTTCACATGATAATAAAGAGTACATATCCTTTAAAATAATTTTATTACATTATCTATATTAAAATAATAGTTGTTATTAAGTTCAAATTAGTTTTGTGCTAGTGGAAAATTTTGTAAGAAAATCGGGATAAAATAGCCTTGGAAATTCTGAGAATTGTGGTTTCACTTTCAGATTAAAGTATTTGGGTGGTACTCCCAATCTTTAATCGGATAAGACTTAGAATTGAGAAAACAGAAGAGAAAAATGTTCAAGATGTTATGAAGAAGAAGAGTAGCAACAACAGATTTTGGATATGATCATATAACCAGAAAAACTTCCGGTCTTAAAACTGCCACATGACAGTTTTATGTCCTAAAACTGTCAAAACATCATAAACTAACTTAAATTCGGGTCTAAAATATGGATCACAAAACCGGGTATATTTACCAAAAATCCAGATTTCTGATGCATTTTTAACATAGTAACATAACATATATAAAAATCCAGCTCGACCCCAGCCAGGGGCTGCCGCCCCTTGGACCCCGCCAGGGGCTGCCGCCCCTTGGACCCCGCTCCCAGGGGCGCTGCCCCCGGACCCCCGTCGGTTCAGGGGCTTCGCCCCTAAATAGCAGTATACTTTCAACAAAGACAAAATTAAACAAAATGTGCACTCCGCACCATACCGATTTGTTCAATAATTTGTCAAAGTGACATTGATCAATAAATTAACCCCATCACACTTAAATAACATTAGTGATATAAAATCACCAACAAATTTCAACCGATTCTTGTGTTAGAAAAATATTCTAACATAGAGAAATGGTTTGTTGATTTTTTTATCAGAGAAATGGGAATGATTTGTGTAATTTGTGTTAGTGAAAATATTTTACTTTTAATTATTTTTATTATATTAATTATATACCGGCGATCTGACTCCGCCACCGGCCCCTAAAACGTTGTGATCGCATTTGCTGCCGCTTTCTCCCTGTCTTTCGCCTCTCACTCAGGGTTGGTTGCCTTCGGTAAGTTCCCTTAATTAACGTCAATTTCTGGTTGATTTTTTCCCAAATGCGTGACTCTTGGTTTTAAATAGCGTAAAGCGCCTCAAAGCGCTTTGGGCTTTGGGAGTAAAAGCGTTAAGCGCTAAGCGAAAGCGCCCGCTTAGAGCACACGAAGCGCACATTATTAAAAAAAATTAAAATATAGAAATTATATACAAATACTTAAAAAAAACCATATCCTGCATATTGCATAAGGCATCAATTTCAAAAGTCAAAAGTCAATTTCAAAAGTTAAAAGTAGCTTCAGGCATGGTGATAAAAAAAGGCAGAACTTAAGTCCTAAATTCTTAATCCTTAATCATAAAAACTAAAAATATGCGAAACGGTCATCATCATCGTCAACTTGGACAACATCATCGTCAACTTGAATGTTGATTCACTTGATTCCAACTGTTGTGTTCAGAGGAGAGAGGAGGGCAGGAGGCTGAAGATGAATATGGAGAAGAAGAAACGTTTTCCCGCCTACTGATGTTACAACACGTATGAATTCTCATTTTAATAACCCTACAACCTATGTATCTAATTAAAAATACACTAAACCTGGCCCAGCTAATTAAATAAGCCCAGTATACCAAAAGCGCGATTAAGCGCCGCTTTACCAAATCGGAAAAAGCGGCAAAAGCGCCGACTTAAGCGGTGAGTTAAGGAATCTGAGCGCATTACTAATTCAAAAGCGGTTTTGATTTTCATATGAGCGCTTAGCGCTTTAAGCGGTCCAAAGTGCCGCTTTTTAAAACCAAGGCGTGACTAAATCCTTGAAATTATATTATCTTGTTATGTTCGCTTTGACTTGTGTCAAACATTCCTTTTCCTATGGTCAAATATAAGAATCTTTGAATCAATTTTGAAATTGTGTTTCTCCAACTAGTGTTGGTTCCTCAGTAGATCAATCGATCTCACCTGAGCCACGACTTAACGTTGGAAAATTGATAGATTAAACCTGTAAGTTTATATCCACGCAGTGTGAATTTTGTTATTGAACATAGTGTGATTCGGTTTCAACAGGTTTGACTTCAAACGATCAAAAATTGTAACTTCAATTTAGTTTGATTTTACCCTGTGCTTCATATTTCAGTTCTTACCAGGTTACTTCAGTTCTTGGCCTAAACCATCATCATCACTTTATGGGCATACATTATGTGTTACTTGCTTGTCTATTCTTGATCATGGAAGACAATTTATGAGCATGTTTAAGACCAATTATGTTGCACATGTTTTTGACTCTGTACTTCCCATGTCCATGTCCTGCTTAAGAAGTTTTGATTTTGTGCCATCCATGTATTATGTATATATGTCATGCCACTTCAATCAACATGATGCATACACATTTTATTTTTCTTGTTCATAAGTTTATACTTTCTTGGACAAAGACCATTGCTACAAAGTAATATCATTCATTCACATGCACCATTGAATCAGAAAACAGATAAGAACTTGTTGCAGAAACTCTGTAGGTACCTTCTCCTCCAAATCTGAAACATTTTTGGCAGTAAAAAAATATAGAAAATTGTTTTTACACTTTATTAAATGTGTGCCTCTACATTTGAACTATGCATCACTTTTTTTCATGTTACCTGTGTGCATTTATGCATGCTCTTCTGATATATAGGAAGTTGTGCATTTTTTAAAGTTTAGTATTGATTAAGTAATAATGATGTGATTTTGTTCAGTCAAGTAGGAGTCGAAAATTTTACACAATTAGATAACATAATTTATTTGAAGGCCTACCACATACCACATGCCAAATGTCAAATAGCATAAATATGTTCAATCTATCATCTCTCTCCCTTTTATTATCTACAGATTTTGCTCCAGATTTTCCTCTCCATCTAGTCTCTTCATAATGTATAGCCCAATTCGATCGGCCATTCAGAATTAAATGTACTTGTGGCTTGTGCAGATTGGTTCGCCGGAAAAGTTTATACGAACGTATAACTAAAGATCTCACCTATTAAAATAAAAACTTAGGGAAACCTAAAATCAACATGAAAGTATTATTATATATATGTAAAGACTTAATTCCTAATTAACTTCTTCTGGAAGAAGTTTCATCAACTGATCTTTTGATCGATAAGTTAATTAGAAGTTGGAGATTTTTCACAATTAGAGAGAATTATAAATATTGAGGACCCCATTCAGAAGACCTGAACAACTCATACCTTATGTTTAGAAAAAGAATTAGACCACAAACTATTGGATGTTGACTAGACCTTAAACTCTCTGATTAACAACTCCAAGCAAATAACCATGAATATATATATATATATATATATATATATATATATATATATATATATATATATATATATATATTTGGGTTTGTGTAAAAGGTTATAACAAATTAAAGAGGATGAGTAATTCAACGATGCTTCTCTTCTTTTCCTTTTTCTTTTTCCTCATCTCTGTTTCTTCTTCCTCTTCTTTCAATGACACTCACAAATGCTCTGCTCAACAAGCCCTTGATTTACTTCTCTTTAAACAAAACCTTTCACCCATCAAATTTTCATACGATTATACCCCATGTGAATATTGGCTTGGTTCTGATTACTATCCCATTATGATGAACTGGAACAAGAATACGGACTGTTGTAAGTGGAATGGTGTGACTTGCAACCACTTCACGGGTGATGTTATTGGTATCGACCTAAGTTGTGGTATGCTACGAGGTACTATCCACCCTAACTCCACCCTCTTTCGCCTTCCTCATCTCCGAACACTCAACCTTGCTTTCAATGATCTTACTGATTCCCAACTCCCACATGAAATTCATAGGTTTTCTAATAGTCTCACACATCTCAACATCTCTGGATGTAGGTTAGCTGGCCAAATTTCTAGGGAAATCTTAGTTCTTCCTAGATTGGTTTCTCTTGATGTCTCTTATAATTATAGATTGCAAATGC